TGTTTAATATCTTTAAGCCAGAGAAACATGCATGGGAGGTCAGAATAATTCTGAGCTCAAAGACAGGATATTTGAAGGGGACTTTTATGCCCTCAGAGCAAGCCCCTATCCCCTCCTGACTCAGGATGCCTGTGTCAGCCAAAATTATAGTCTCCATATGTGTCAATCATAAACATGGAAATGACATAAAAGAGGAATGACAAGAAACAGACAATAAAATAAGAGGGCAAACCATCAAGCAATAAAATGAGAGAGGAGCCATAGTGTCCTTTGTCAGTTTATCTTACATAACATAGCATAATAGTGTTCATAAGGCCATTATTTGAGATAGTGTCTTTAACAAAGGGAGAGTCATAAAATAATAAGATAAGAGAAATACCTGATGGCACCTGGTCCTTATCAGAAGAATGTTCCTAGTCAGCTAAATCCAGCAGGAGAGCTTCCAGTTTACTCAGAGGGCACACAAGGCATATCTGTTATGCCAACCAGGGTGCCTTTTCTGATTGGTTGGTCCAGATTTTGGCATTCGTTGAGTGCTGAGGTGAAGGGTATCAAACGATCCTCAAGAGTTGCCTAGAATGCTGAGAGGCCAAATAATTTGTCCAGAGCCATAGGCTGGTATGTGTCAGGGGGAGGACTTGAACACTAATCTTCCTGGTTGCAAGATCCACTCTGTATCCACTATGCTGGGGCAGCTAGATGGTGCAGTGGATAGAGCACTGGCTCTGGAGTCAGGAAGACCTGAGTCCAAATCCAGCCTCAGACACTTACTAGCTGTGGGACCCTAGACAAGTCACTTAACCCTTTTTGCCTCAGTTTCTTCATCTGTAAAATGAGCTGGAGAAGGAAATGGCAAAAGTATCTTTACCAAGAAAATCCCAAATAGGGTCACAGAGAGTCTGAAATGACTCAGCAACAATTCTTCAATTTTAAAATATGCATTTTTTTCTCTAAATCACTATTAACAAACTGAATGAAACACAAATCAAACAGCTCTGAGATACCTCATACCTATCAGACTGGCTAATAGGACAGAAAAAGAAAATAATAAACGTTGGAGGGGTTGTTGGAAAATCGGGACACTAATGCATTGTTGATTGAGTTGTGAACTGATCCAACCATTCCTGACTCAAGCAAATTGGACACCAATGAAAAATAAAACATCCAAATTGTTGAAAAATGCCGGGGGGGGAGGGGCGGGGACAGCTAGGTGGCACAGTGGATAGAGCTCTGGCCTTGCAGTCAGGAGAACCTGAGTTCAACACCTGACACTTGCTAACTGTGTGACCTTGGACAAGTTACTTAACCCCAATTGCCTCACCAAAAAGCAAAAAAAAAAAAAAAAAACAAAAGAGTCAGTGGGGAACAAGTTTTTCAAGAAAGTAAACTCAGAAAATGAGGCAGCTACTAAGGTTAATTTTATTTCTAAAGAAATTGCTGCTCTGGGAAGTCTTTTACTGAGTATGACTTCATAAAGAAGTGTTTGCTGATTGCAGTTGTTGGATTATGTCCCAATAAAAAAAAGTGTTTTTGAGAATATAAGTTTGTCATGTGTGATTGTGCAGTGAAGAGTAGGTGATGATAAACTGATTGCTGACAAGAAGTGTAATACATCCCATTAACTAAATGGAAACAGTAAGAAAACCTGGAAAATGTATTAAAACTTGTACAGCTTAGCAAAGTAATTTTTTAACATTAATGTGATTTCATGATAAATAAAAATTTTAAAGTGTAATTAACTGATATTAATTGAAATTTCCCTTTTTAAAAAATATGGCTTATTTGCAAAATAGTTTAATCATTAATTATACCTTTACTTGGAAAGTGAGCCACTAAAAATCTATCTTCGGCCTAAAGAAGTTTAGCCTATTTTAATTTTGACCCCTACCTCCTGCCAAGTCGTGCAGGTCTGCTCTAGATGAACATGTGAGCCTGGCCACACACTGTAGCCATCAGTAGAAAAAGAGTGACTCCAAGTCTTTGCTTAGCTTTTAAACAACTCCCACCTTCCCTCATGCCTGAGTGGTCAGGACAACTGGTTCTGCTTGATAGCCACATGCCCACATTTCCCAGGGATATACAAGTTTCTGACAGGGCTAACAGAAGAGAACACTGATTCCATGCATTTGGTTCCTTGGTGGAGTGGGCAGCCCTAGGGAATACTGAGAAAAATATGTGGTGGCTGGCACATATTCTGGTATGAATCCAGGAGCTTGGTTTTATTGTCACATATGAAAACACTTAACACCTTAGAGGAGGAGCTTGTACTTCTGGACTGCTATTCTCCTGGGCACAGCTCATGGCCCTCAAGGAATACACATCCTTGGACGGTCCCTGCATTGCTCTTTGTAAGCAGCAATCCAAGTCAGGGAACCTAAGTTTAAATCCTGGGTCTGCCCCTTACTAACAGCATGACTTTGCACAGACTTTGCTAAGAAACCTCACAAGGTTACAAGGAAAACACTTTGCCAACATTAAAATGTCTAAATGGATTATTAGCCTTTCTGAGCTTTGATTCTCTCATCTGCAAAATGAGGGGAGTTGCGCTAGCTGCTCTGTAAGGTGACTTCCAGCTCTAAATCTGGTGAGGTGGGGTGACATTGGAAGAAATGAATTTAGCTACTGGGCCAAGGGGACAAGACCCTCGTTTCCCTTGTGGGGTGTTGCTGGCTGGAATTAGTGCTCTGGGGAAGAAAGAAAGAAGTCAGGATGCAGTTTGTATTTTGTCTTGGTTGTGAGCAAGTAGTTTTTCATTTGGTGAGGACTCCTGGCCTGGGTCCTTAGAGAGGAAGCATAAATGCTCATAAAGTGCTTAAACTACTTCTTATCCATTAGCTTGAGAGGCAACATAGTACAATGTAAAGACAAAAGAGTCACAAGACCTGGGCTCAAATCAGATCTAAGATGCTTACTACCTGTGTGAAATACTCTAAGTCTCAACTAAAATCCCGCCATCTACAGGAAACCTTCTCTAACTCCTCTTGATTCCAGTGCTTTTGCTCTTTCAATTATTTCCTATTTATCCCAGATAGAGTTTGCTTTACATTTGTTTGCATGTTGTCTCTTCTGTTAAAGGAAGGCAGGGGCCGTCATCTTTCACCTTTTTGTATCCTTGGTGCACAGCACAGTGCCTGGCACATTGTAGTACTTAACATTTATTGAATGAATTTAAGTTCCAAGGGAAATTTAAGTTTTCTCATCTGCAAAATGGAGGAGAGGGTAGTGGTGTGTGAAATTGACCTATGTGGCCAATAGGGCCCAAGTTCATTTGAGTTCTAAATCTGTGATCTTATTGCCTAGTTTCTGCAGTGCCTTTTCATCCATGCCTTTACGCCACACAACACACACACACATACACACGGCAAAGAATTTGGGAATGGTGTGATGCTGCCCTTCAGTCACTGGAGGGAACAGAGGGACATTTGCAAGGAAGAGGTGGGGTACAGTAATAGCTCCAAGTTGTGTTTCTTGCGGGATTGAGACAGCTTGATTTTGTTGAGTTATATGTTCTTTATGGCCTGCATTCCCCCACCCTTTTGCCATTCTCTCAGGTTGGCATATTGGAGCTTGATGCTTCAGGTGATTTCATATTGTAATGTAAATGCCATCTGAAATCTCCTTGGAACTGAGTGGCCAGGGAGGCTCACCTCTTGGCCACCCTAGGTTTATATTGCTTTATTTGGGACATCTAGCTTTCAACGGACTTCGAACCTAAATAGAGACAAGGACTTCTTATAGCAGGCTCTGAGTACAATGCCAATCCAGGACTAGATAACCAGGATGTTGTGTGAGTCTCATGGCAACCACTAATCCTGGGGCTAGGGGCCAATGGGAAACAGACTCCCCCCCAGAGAAGAGATAACTATGGATGTTTCTGGGTCCTGTTGATTTAAAGAGCACTTTAAAAAACACGTCTTTTAAAATGATGGGAATCCACAAGGCTCTGTGTGAAGTCTCTGCAGATGGCATGGGTGAACTGCTTAATTTAAAAATCAAAGTAGTAGGGCAGCTAAGTGGCACAGTGGATAGAGCTCTGTCCTTGGAGTCAGGAGAACCTGAGTTCAAATCCAACCTCAGACAGATAACATTCACTAGCTTGTGTCACTCTGGGCAAGTCACTTAATCCCACTTACCTCACCAAAAAATAAAAAAAACCAAGGTACATAGAATATGATTTACTAAGGCTGTGGAATTTTTAGACCAAAATAAACATTACCATCCTTCCCTTCCACTTTCTTTTAAACTGGATTATGGGAGGAATTTCCCATTTAGTCTTGGAGAGAGCTGCCTAAAGGATGCTAGCAGGGTAAGTGACTTGCCCAGGGTCATATAGCTAGGATATGTCAGAAGCTAGCCTCAAACCCATATCTTCTTTGATTCCAAGGCCAACTTTATACTCACTTCACCATCCTTCCTGTTGCTTGGATAAAATTCTCAGCCTCTATATTCTGAACCAAACCTAGGAAGGGGAAATTCCTCCATCCACTCTAAAGGTGGGGCTGTGCAGCTAAGGCTACTGGACCCCAAAACCACTTTCTATCTAAGTTTCTGTGACTTGCTAACCTCAACTTTAGCCGAGTGTCAAATTCTTGACCCTTTGTGTTCAGAGCACAGGACTAGCTCCCTACAAAATATTCACGTTAGAAAATTAGAAGTAAAAAGGAAGATATCTTGCCTTCTCAAAGGGTGGCTATTCCTGACCAATGAAATGTACCTTCACTTGAAAGGGAATGCTGCAGGTGAAGCAAGGTGCAGCCACAGGCTGCAGAGAGAGCAGTGCGGTTCTCACATTGCAGTGGAACGAAATGCTGGTTTTTTTCAGACTTAGAGACAATGTAGAAACTATCCGGCAAATAAGATCTTAACTACAGCCACAGAAGAGAGACCCAGCGAAAGAAACAAACCCCCCGGGATATGAAAAGACTTATTGCTACGCCATGCAGTTCCTTCCCACCTCCCCTCTTCAATTAGATCTTACTAATAAATCTTCCAGGAAACAGTAGGGGAGTCAAGAAAATTTATGAAACTTGAAAAGTGAAAGCTAAAGTTTCAGGTGATTCTCCCATTTTAAAGTGTTTTCTCTCAGCCGTATTTTCTTCGTGTCTGCTGAATCATCAGCAGACTCCCCTCCACTTGATTTGAATGTCCTGTTGTTCGTCCCTGCAAACAAAACAGAGGTTCCCAATCATGGCTCACCCCATCTCAAAAAAGAAAGAAAACAAAATGCCGCCCCTACTTTGCCTTTAAAAAAAAAAGTCTTTGCATGCTATGTACCATTATACTCTAAGGAGGGTGTTTATTCAGTTTTAGAGAACCCTTGCACTATGGTTGTCGGGGGGCGGGGGGAGGGGGAGAAGTTCAATACGTGTACCTCCTTCTTGGATTTCTGTCAACAAGGAGCACCTTGACATGTCCATAACTTCTCTCTGTGGAGCAAGGCCTGACTGGGGGGTGGGATGGAGTGCCTGGAGGGGAGTGTGTGAGACTTTAAATGTATGCAATGCCTAAACACTAAGAATGTGTATTTTTAAAGCCGGAATTGTGAGTACCTATCTAGCCTCGGGTCAGTTCTTCAAGTACACTGAAGTGCATCAAGTATAGGGGACTAAATAAACCTTTAGAGTTTTCATGGCTAGAACTTCTGTGCAAAGAGATAGTGTGACGCAACAACACTGACTAGGAGTGAATGTCTCTTGGCATCAGAAAGACCCGGGGCGTTTGAATCTTGCCTCAAGCTCTTGATTAGCTAGGGAAAGCAGGATGCGCCATTCAATCTCTCTGGAGAGACCCAGTTTCCCAATAAGTTAAATAGGATGTGATGACATCACTTATTTTCCTGGGATGCTGTGAGTCAAGTAAGATAATGTGCGTGCACCACTTTGCAAATCTTAAAAGAACTATATACAGTGACAGCCACATTATGGAATGACTGACTCTGATAAACCTGGATCTTCACAGCAATGCAAGAATCTAAGATAACTTAAAAGATTCATGAGGGAAATTGGTGTCCACACCCACAGAAAGAAACATGGAGTCTGAGTGCAGGTAGAAGCACACTATTTGCTCTCCTTTTCCTTTGTTTTGTTTTATTGCTTCATTCTCGTGGTTCCTCCCATTAGTTCTAATTGTTCTTTACATCACAACTAATGGGAAAATATGCTTAATATGAATGTATAAGTAAAGCCTATATCAGATTGTTTGGCAGTCTGGGAGAGGGGGAGAAGTGAGTGGGGGAGAAAATTTAAAACTCAAAATCTTATGGAATTGAATGTTGAAAACTAAAAATAAGTTAATTTTAAAAAAGAATTATACAAATTTAAACTGTGATTACTGAAGTTCATAAGATCAGAATTTGTTTTGCTCGACTATGCATATTTGATACAAAGATTTTGTTTTTCTTTTTCAATGGGTGGGGGAAATGGAGGGAAGAAAATAAATGTATGTTAATTGAAAAAATTTAGAGACTATTTACTGCTTAATGTTGGGAACGAACAGAAAAAACTATTTTTCCATCCTCTGAAATTATCCCTATAAACCTAAAGGTGTTTAGACTAGAAGATCTCTTCCATCTCTAAACCCTATGATCTGAAGTTCTTGATTTTTGTCCTTTGTTAGCTTAAGACAGCAGAGAAACATCACTGTAACATAGCCATTCTTTTCAAGCCTGATTCCTGTAGTCATTCTGGGAATAAGAAGCACTCAACATCTGATTCCTTTACTTAATTTCCTACATTATCAAGAAGCTAAGAGGGAATAGGGGTATGGAATGGACTTGAGGGGTCCATTGCTGTCATACGTTACCTAATTTTCTGACAAAGTAGGCATTCATTGCCATAGGTTATGGAATCTGTTCCACATACAGGGTTTAAGTCTCTTGGACATCCTGGAAGGGAATACCATTTGCAGTCGGGCTAGGAAAAGAGAGAATTAGAGAAAAGCCTGGAATAAAATGTTTTTTCAAATAGCAGAGTATCATAGGATGTTCCCTCTTATATTTCAATACTTAAATGGATATGTGATTTTTTTAAAAAGAACTATTCTGAAGCTTTGCCAGATAATCAGAAGGTACACCTTTGTAATAGCAAGTCATATTCAAGCCTTAGAATTTGTCTAGAGAGAAAAGAGAGGCACCATATTTTATAAGATCATCTGAGTCAACAATTTGTGACTATAATTGTTTTTTCTAACAACATAAAATAGAAAGCTATATAGGAATCCATTCAATTTTTCAGCTTTGCTTGTCTTCTGGGCACAGGCAGTAAAGGGTAACTAATTCCTTTTAATAAAATCTTGGGAGTATTGCTTAAGAAGCAATGTTGATTTGCATGTTAGCTATGGATAGAAAATTTTGATTATATAAAATTGAAAAGTTTTTGCACTGTACCACACAGCCTCTTTTTAAAAATAAAAAAAAAATGTTAATAAAATAAAATAAAAAATAAAAATTTTTGGAGATAGAGTTCAAATCCTGCCTCAACACTTAATACCTGTGCAATCTTGAACAAGATACTTCATGTCTCTGGGCCTCATTTTCCTCATCTGGGAAATAAGCTGATCTCTCTGAGCTAGCTTTAAATCTATGACCCTAAGGTTAGAAGATGTCACTTGTTTAGTGGACAGCTAGGTCTAGAGGATCAAGGGAGTTAGGAAGCAAATCTTAGATCTAGCATGAAATTTGCTAGTGCCACCTCTCAATCTCTATTTCTAGGCCTTGCTCCCTAGGGGTGGGGAGAAATGGGCTCTCTCCCTTCTTGACCGTGGAAGTACTCTCCTAGGTAGTGGGACCACTGAGGACTCCAGAAGTCAGCAATTTACACATGGCTGTAGAATCTTTACAATTCAAACTATAACAAACGATGTCTGAGTACTTGGTGATTCAAGGTCCATACTCACTACTGTACCAGAGGTTAAATTATATCTGCCCTGATAGTATTCTCACACTCCCCGTTTTAGGAGCTTCAGGTATGATTCTAGTCATCAAAGTGGTAGTCATGACATCACGACAGACAGAATGCTAGAGGAAATAGAGGGCCATCCTTGGAGTCAGGAAGACCTGGATTCAGGTACGGCCTTTGACACCCACTAGGGGTATGACCATGAGTAAGTCTCTCAGTGTCTCAGAAACTTCTCAAAGATTATTAATTAGAGATCAGCTGCTAATCTACATTGATGAAAGAAGTTATTGTACCAAATTTCCCTCCAGGAACCTCTTCATCCTACAAGATTATGACCTGGAACTCACTTCATCAGTACTCTATTCCTGACTGTCCGTCACCCCTAGCTCCCCTTCTGATTAGAGGGGATAGAGAGCTCTATGTCCATTTCCACTATGTCCATTTAAGGAGGGAGCCCAGGTAAGGCGTTTCCCACACAGTTGCATTTCTCTGAACTTGTCCATCTTACCTGCCTGCCAAGTACCTTCTCCCTTACCTTCTCCCCTTCCCCCCTCCCAGCTATTCTACTTCCTTTTTATGTTGTCTTCTTTCTTTAGATTGTAAACTCCTCGAGGACAAGCATTATTTTTTGCCTTTCTTTGCATCTCTTAGCACTTAGCTCAGTGCTTGGTACTTAGTAGGTTCTGTGGTGTGTGGGTGGGTGGCAACTGGGGTTAAGTGATCTGCCCAGGGTCACGCAGCTAGTCAACATCTGAGACCAGATTTGTACTCAAGTCCTCCTGACTCCAGGGCTGGTGTTCTATCCAGTAAGGCTCCTAGCTGCTCCTTAGTAGGTTCTTAATAAATGTTTATTGACTGACTAATGAAACCACATGTCCAGTTTTAAAAAAAAGAAAACTATACCATGCTTGAATATAGTCATACTAAGGGGCAGCTAGATAGCACAGTGGACAGAGCTTGGAATCAGGAAGACTTGAATTCAAATCCAGCCTCAGACACTTACCAGCTGTGTGACCCTGGTAGTTGCTTAACCCTGTTTGCCTCAGTTTCCTCATCTGTAAAATGATCTGGAGGAAAAAAAATGGCAAACCACTACAGTATCTTTGCCAAGAAAACCCCAAAGTGGGGGAATGAAGTCAGACACAATCAAAATTACTGAACAAAGTAATTTCTAAGTTCCCTTCCAGTTTTAGATTCAATAAATCCCATTGTGTAATACGAATACATTAATGTGTTCTTAAGAAAATTGGGAAAATAAAATCATTCCCTAGACCTTCAAACTGTAGGGTTTTTTAATGGAACTCATACACCTATCTTTATCTATATATCTTGCCTAGTAAAGACACTAGTGTCTGAAAGGAGGCAGAGGGTTTCAAATGCTTCTGGAAGCCTAATGAAATTTGAGTCTAATTTTATGACTCTATATCATAAATGGAAACAAAAAAAGTTATTTTCTACTTACCATTTCTGGGACCCTGTTATCATCATAGAAAGCATAGGATGAAGCCACTAAAAGAAATCAAAGAACATTGTTCCATAAGCATTCCTTAAATAAGTTATTACCTGGTAATCTTTCATCAGTACTTTCATTTTCAGGTATATCCAGGTCTAGGACTTTTATTCTCATCCATATCTTTCTAAAACACCCCTCACTCCCCCTTCCAAACCTAGCCTTGGCTGGAATTAGGTTGTTCTCTCACACTTCCCTGGGAAGACTTGCAGGTAGAACATTTATTCCTATTGTTAAGTCACCCTCTTTATGGGTTTAACTGTCCTAGTTTATCTGAGTTTTGAGCTACAGAGTAAAGTTCAACGTGGAGATTATTTATGCTAAAGGTATTAACACTTTTGTTCTTGGTGGCTTTGAATTTAAAGCCAGGTAATCAAAGTTCCCCAACTTTATTTAAACTCTATGCCCTACCAAATGGAAGCTCTTTAAAGTCTCATCTGGCTTGGATTCCTTTTAACTTTACATTTTGTTTTTGACAACACTTGGTGTATCACTGATACCCAATACATAAGACACAAGTTACCTAAGCTTAACTTGTCAAGTTGTCAAGTACAAGATAGGGAACGCACGGCTAGGCAGCAGCTGTTTGTTTGAAAAAGAGCCAGGGTTTTAGTGGACTACAAACTTAGTAAGTGTCAAATATGACACAGCAGCCAGAAAAATTCATGTAATCTTAGGAAACTGAAGACAGTGTCTCTTAGGATTAAGGAAGTAATAATATGGTTGCCTGGCACATGGTAGGCACTTAATAAATCTTCATTAGCTGTGTCCTGGCCAGATCACAACCAAAACGTTATCTAGAGGGTGCCACATTTTACGAAAGACAATAATAAAATGAAAAGCATCCAGAGGAAAGCCACCTGGGCAGGAAAAAGCCTCAAGATCAGGCACGTGCAGTTTAGTTGAAGGTACTTCGGATCTTTAGCCTGGAGAAGAGAAGACGCAGAGGGGACATAATATCTGGGTTCATGTGTTTTCTAAGGGGTATCGCACTGAAGAGGGATTATTAGACTTACAGTGCTTCATCTCAAAAGGCAGACTCTAGGTGTTGGGTGAAAGAGAAAAGAGATCAATTTAGGTTTAATGTAAGGAAAATTTTCCTAACAATTAGTTACCCTAAAGTGGAATAGGCTGGTTGCCTAATGAAATAGTGAGTTCTTCTTGCTGGAAGCATTCAGGCAAAGAATGGATATCAATTATTAGAAATACTGTAGAGGTCCTAAAGTACTTTACAAATATAGTTATTGCAAATTTCCCTCACCTTCAGGTACTGAGAATTCACCCACATATGGTAGGATCATTTTTGTTATTTAAAAAAAAAACTCCTGGTCTTTATTTCCAGAAAAATCTCCACTTCCCCAGCTGCTCTAAGTAACAGTGACTGCATTAAACAGTTAAACATTAAACAGAGACAAAAGCATTCACATAGAGAAGGAAGGGGAATTGAAGGTGAAAAAAAGGCATTTAGTAAACTCCTAGCTAGGTGCTTGACTTCTGAAATGTTTTCCTCACCAGGCAGGAACTGGTCACCCTTGTCCAAAAAGTAATGGAGAAAGTTCTCTAACATGTCATGAGGTGGAGTGGGACTGGACCTCTGATTTCATCAGTGCAGGGAGCTCAAACTTTCTCAACCAATTTCAATCCTCACAATCTCTGCAACTTAAGAGTCTGAGGATGCTGGCTTTAGTGGAGAGAGAGTCGTCCTTGAAGTCTGGTTCAAGTCTAGCCTTGGCACACTTTGGTGACCCTTGGCAAGCCATTTATTTAATCTCTCCTTTCTTTTTTTTTTGGGGGGGGGGGCTAGGCAATGGGGTTAAGTGATTTGCCCAAGGTCACACAGCTAGTAAGTGTTATGTATCTGAGGCCACATTTGAACTCAGGTCCTCCTGAAGCCAGGGCCACCTAGTTACCCCCTTAAAAGCTCCTTTCTAAAGGCAACAGATGCCATACAACCCCAGGGCATTGGATTTGGACAGAGGTTTAATCCAACTGCCCCTATTTTCACAGATGAAGAAGCAAGCCCAGCCTAAGGCAAGTACCTTCTTTCCTCTACCTCCCCCGTACCTCTTCCCCTAAAGGTTCTCAGTAGATGGGAATCCCTTAAATTATTTCTTCCCTCCCCTCTCTTGTGGGGGGTGGGAGGGAAGATCAGGTAAGGAGGGCACTGGCCAGTCCCAACTGTACCCTCTACCTGTGAAGTTCTTGGTCAGAAGCATCACGAACAGGGGGAACACAACGGAAAACAGCTTCATCCTCCCACGGTAGGCGCTTTCGCTCTCCCCAAGCGGTCTTCCAGCACCTTCAGAAGCACTTGGAGGCGAGCGATCGTTAACGCTCACGAATTCTGTGACTCTACCGGAAAGGTGAAGCGATATACACTTTGGCCCCGCCCTTACATTCCATCCTACCCTACCCGGGGCCCCCACTGGACTTGACGGCCATTCGCGTCATAAACAGCTCTGAGGCCGTGGCCGGGGGTGGGGGGAGAGACGAGGAACCTAGAGAGGAGGCTTGGGGGAGAGGAGAGAGAGGAAGAGGGAGAGAAAGGAGGAGTCAAGTCTACCTGAACTCCAAGACGGTCTCCACTTGGGACATGATTGAGCCCATTATAGGGAAGGCAGGCGGCAACCGGGAGGTTTCCAGGGATAGAAGAAAGATTTCATTCATTCCGAATGTATGTTCTGAACTACCTGAGCTGTCTTAGGGAGCTCTTCCTAAGCACCTTAGCCTACAATTAAAATCAAAAGGGTAGAAGCAGACCCACAAACAGTCTCGGGTTTAGCCAGTTTGTGTGCCCTTATGTGCGTTTTTCTTCAAAGGGGCCATCTGGATAAGAAGAGGTTAAATCTTAATTAACGGCTTTGTGTTTGTTCCTTTTTATTTACTTATTCAACCGCCTGTAAGGACGATAATGAAAGAAAGAAAGAGAGAGAGAGAGAGAGAGAGAGAGAGAGAGAGAGAGAGAGAGAGAGAGAGAGAGAGAGAGAAAAGACGGCTATTCTGTTACTAACAATAAGACCTGCCCTGAAAATAGACTATTTTTGGAGGGTCAGTGTACATAGAGAGAGCCATTCTGGAGAGTGTAGGATCATAGATTTAGAGTAGAAAAGGATGAGAGAAGCTTTTCCCTCCATCCTCCTCCTAGTACAGAGGAAGGAAACTGAGTGCCAGAAAAGAGAAGTGATTTGCCTAAAATCACAGAGGCAAAAGTGGCATAGAAGACTTTTGGATCCAAATCAAACACGCAAATGTTACATTATTATATTGCATTAGAAACTCCTATGGAATCAGCAAAGATATTAAGAGGATAGCTTCAGTAAAGTCTTGGGCTACTAAACCCATGAAAATCAACAGCATGTCTGTATAATAATGATAAAGTCCAAGAGGCAATAATAATAGAGCAATCTCATCAAGATAACTGTAAAATTCATAAATAGTTGGGAAGTGATGTACCAAAGCACAAGAAATACTTGTATAGCTACAATTACAAAATGCTTCTTAAAGAAATAAAGAACACTTTAAATAGTTGAAGAACTATTCAATGCTTGTGGCTGGGCCATGCCATAAATACAATGAAAAATGACAATACTACTGTCAACTCCCCAAAAGTAGGAATGCAAGGACATTACTAGAATTCTGACATTACTAGGATTGTTCAGAAAGAGTGGTAGATGTTAACAATTTTTCTGTCATTATATTAACAATTTTTTGGCACTACCAAAGTTAATTTATGGTTTTATTGCTATACCAAAGGGATATCAAAGGGATACTTTACAGAACTTAATAAAATAATAAAAATTTATTTGTAGAAACTAAAGATCTCCCATAGCAAGGGAAATAATAAATAAAAGGTAGGAATGAAGGAGGAATAGTACTGCCAGATCTCAAACAATATTATCAAGCAGCAATCATCAAAAGCTTTTGATTTTGTTTTTTAAAAAAATAGTGTAGATCAATGGAACAGACTCAACAAGGGTGAATCAAAAATAATTTATTGAACTGAATAACTCAATGTTCAGTAAACTCCAAAGGATAAATAACTTAGGAAAGAACTCCATAGTAGATATGAACTACTAGAAAACTGGAAAGAATTTGGTAGAAATTGGATTTAAACTAACATTTCACACCATGTTCCATAATGAATTCAAAATGGATTCATGACCTAAATATTGAAGATCATACCATAAAAAATTGGAGAAGTAGATCATATAACTTTCAGAGTTTTGGGTACACGTATTCTTGAGAAAGCAATTTCAAAAGATTTTTTAAAAATGTTTTGATTACATGAAATTGAAAATCTTCAACATAGGGGCAGCTAGGTGGCGCAGTGGATAGAGCACTGGCCCTGAAGTCAGGAGGACCTGAGTTCAAATCCGGCCTCAGACCAAACACTTGACACTTACTAGCTGTGTGATCCTGGCCAAGTCACTTAACCCCAATTGCCTAAAAAAAAAAAATCTTCTGCACAAACAAAACTAAAGCATCTAGGATAAGAAGCAAAGAGGTTGAATCAAAAAAAAATCTTTGTATCATTTCTGTGAAAAGAGTTTGATATTCAAGATATATAGATAACTAACAGACACATGTAAGACCAATATAACTCCTCATTAAAGAAGTGTTCAAATGATATGAACAAACATGCCTCAAAAGAATTATGGAGAGCAGCCCAAGATGGTGGGCTTCAAGGATCTGGTGTCAGATGAGGAAAAGGTACGGAAAGCGGCCAACTTTATCGCTTACATTCCCCGAGGAGAATTTAATGAAGTATTTAATGATGTCAGGTTCCTAATTAGTAAGGACAATCTCCTCAGGGAAAGGATAGCTGGTGGTTTTGACCTGTATAACAAAGATCAGTTCACCCAGTGAAGATAATGATCAGGTCTTAAGCACAGAACGTGGTGAACTGCATAGTAGCAGATTTTTAGATCCAAGAAATAGTTTCCTTTAAGTTTGATCACTTATGGAAAGAAGCAAGTGACCCCCAACCTGAGGGCACAGAAGGAGCTTTGAAGTCTTTGAAGTTTTGAAAGAGGGCATCTTGTGACAATGCATTATATACAAGATCATTATTCCAGATCTGTACTGTTTATGCTAAAATTAGAGATAGGCAGAAGACTATTATTGCCTGTATTGAGAGCCACAAATTTCAGTTTAAAAACTTCTGGAATGGTCATTGGAGATCAGAATGGAAATTTACCATCACATCACCTACAGCTCAGGTGGTTGGAGTGCTAAAGATTCAGGTCCACTACTAGGAAGAAGGCAATGTTTAGTTGATTAGTCATAAAGATGTACAGGATTCAGTAACTGTTACTGATGATGCCAAGGAACTTATTAAAACCATAGAGTATGCCAAAAATGAATATCAGACCTCAATTAGTGAGAACTATCAAACAATGTCAGATGCCACATTCACTGGCACTGGCAGCTTACACTCGCCCGGCACCAAAATCAGCTAGAACAAGACGCTTAGACACAAGATTGGCAAAGAAATGCAAAAGGCTTAAGGCTGAATGTGAAATTCTCCAATTGTAACATGCAAAGAAGAACAAGAACAAGAACAAGAAAGGAAAGGAAAAAAGGGGAAAAAAATTATGGTCTTTTAAGTAGATGGTTTATAAACAAGTGTGGTATTTTGCTAAGGTTTTCAAAGTTAATGGGTGTTCTAACCTCTTGGAATACTATTGAACCAACAGCATTGTCTTGATGGGGTTTTTGGGGGAGTGTGTGTGTGTGTGTGTGTGTGTGTGTGTGTGTGTGTGTGTGTGGTCTTTGCCATGCAACTTGCTATTGTGACTGTATCTACTTGCAGGATTTTTAAAAATGCATTTATTTTTAACATTGAAAAAAGAAAGAGAAAGAGATATGTCCTAGAATTTATATATTGGTTAGAAAATTTCCTAGCCATGAAAGCCATCTCACAAACAGGCAGGTAATGTTTTCAATACTCTCCTACTCTTACGCTTAATAGCATTTCTAGTACAGCAGTGGTTTTTACTGATCAACCAATAGCTAAGGACGCTATGCTGCAAGATATATCTATAGACATCCTTTCTCTTCTCACTGCTGATTACCACTTAATGGCATGCTGGTAGCTGTAGATTTTTAAATATTTGGAATAAGGTTTTTAACGTGCCTTTGGTGGGAAAAAAAAGGGGTTTTCTGGAAATTACACAATAACCAGCTTCTCTGAGAGAAATTTGGGGGTTTTGTGTTACTGTTCATTTTTTAATCCAAAGACATACCACATTCCTTCCGAGTGAACTTGGTTGCTTTCTTTCTTTTCCAAAAATTCCTTTCCCCCTAATAACATGGTTGTTATGGGCATCTGCATTTTTAGAATATAGTTACCCCATTTATATATATTTTTTTATATTCAAGAACTACTGACACAGTCTGAATGTAGAAGAAATATTAGAACTTGAAAAATGCAGATGCCTGAGGAATAATAGGTATACCGTGCTTAATGCTTTGCAGCAGGTTACTGGAGTTTGTACTATAAGAGTATTAATCAGACCTGTGCATTAAATAAAAAATAAGAATTGCATCAAAGTGAGAACAGTAACTTCTAAGTAGTTGTTGCCTGCTTCTTAATGTACTTAGAGGGAACATTGGCAATTCACTCTAAATGATTTGTAAAACTTATTTGACATTCTCCTTCCGTCCTGCCTGCCAAGAACTCACCTTAGGCTGTGATGCCCCAGTCCTTCCAGGAGGGTGAGTTCCATAGTTCTCAAAACACAGAGACAACATGGATTTGCCATAGCTAGTGTCAGAACTATGTATGGTGAATTCATTCTACATTGTTTACTCTTAGGTGACCAGGCCTTAACATGAAGTCATTTTTTTTAAACCAAGTGCTGTCTTCCTATCTCCAAATACACATTAAAGAACAGGATGTTTGTACTTACAGTGGCATTGTTTATGTTCAGTAACATGGTTAAGCAAGAGTGTTTCCAAAGTGTCCCGTTATTTATGTAAACTTTTTCCCCCAAAATAAAGTATATTTATTTGTGTTATTTGACAATCATAATATCTATCCATATTATAAAATCCTCTGTACCTACTAGTAGAAATAACTGATTTTGTTCTAAAAAAAATATGAACTATTAACCAAATGAAAGAATGTTCAAAATCACTAACAATAAGAGAAATACAAATCAAAACAATCCTGAGATTTTATCTCCCACCTAGCAATTTGGCATAATGACAGAATATATGAATAGTCTATGTTGCAGGGAGGGAGGCTATGGGAAGATAAGCACACTAGTGCATTGTTGGTAGAACCATGATTTAATATGACCAATTGGTAAAGCAGTTCGGAATTAATAAGTTGACTAAAATGTCCGTACTCTTTAGCCCAGAGATTTCACGACTA